GGCCGGGCCGGGTGGGCGCCGCGGGGGCTGCGCGGGGCCCGCGGGTCTCTGCGTGGGCAGGGCCGGCGCGGCGCTCGCTGGCCGTGCTCTCCCTCCCTCCCTCCTGCCCTCCCTTGCCGGTGTTGTAATCCCGGGCCCGGTGCCGAGCGGCCCCAGCCGGGGTGAGCGGCAGCGCCCGTCGTCGTGGGAAGGCTAAGAGGAATAAGGTGCTTCGCCTTCCTTTTGTGCGAACCTTGAACAAAGCTGGACGCCGRCTTTCCAAGTCGGTTTTTGCCGTTTAGCGACGTCAAACCAAAAAAAGTCTGAAGGAATAATAACTGCAGATAATCGGCCGTACCTTAGTAGTGAGAGATTGTGCTGCTGGGGACCGATTATATACGCGGTTTTCATAACTGATTACAAAATCTATTGAACAGCGTTCAAAAGCGTGAAAGGCTTTTTACCACCTTTCAATCAACCACCCTCTGATGTTGTTTTGGTGAAATTAAGAGTGAATTCAGCAGCAGGGAATGGTACCGAGTTGTGGTATTTCCTTTCAGCAGTTGCCTGCTTTGTGTCAAGTTGCATGAGACGATTTTTCCCAGTGTAAATTGATTGCTCTCCGAATTTACATATTTTGTTCTCTGCTTAGAGCTAATTATCTTTGAGTTTTTATCAAGCTAGCAYGGTAGGAATTGTTCAGACCTGTTACCTACAGGCATAGAGAAGCCGTTTTTGTAGATGAGGAAGACTCACTTGAATTGAAAGGCTTGTTTGATTTGTAATGGAACCTAGTCCTGGAATAAAAAAGTTAACATAAGAACGATTTATACTCAAATAATTTATCCAGTTTGTAGCTGGAAGTACTCCATGTTGTGGCATTTGTAGCAGCCTGGATAAAACTCTTCCTGACAATGAATTTATCTTTTGGTCTTGTACTTTTGTTCTTTTTGCAGGTTTTTTTTTTCTATAGGTCATGCACCACATTTTGTTTCACAGGTGTGTGTGGGGCTGTGTATTTTAGATGTATTTATGTAGACAGGTACAACCTGGTAGGTTTTGAGTTCTGGTTTGAAATTTTATGGAGGATCTTCTCACRCACCTGCAAGATTCAGCTGCCAGTCCTTAGTATGTCCGGCTGGCTGATCCGTTCCAGGACAGTGAATATATGTGGCTGGATCTGAATTATTTTCTTTCCCTTAATTGTGAAGTAATTTAGTTTTGAAAGGGACCTCTGGATGTTATCTGTTTGAGCCTTTGTTTAAGATAGAGCAGAAAGCTGTTGGTAAGTTGCAAGCCTGAAATAGCCTGTTTCTTGGAGTTTGCRGATTAAATACACGTTTACTGAATCAGGATGTAGCTAGAGCTTAGATACTCCTCAAACTAATGAGTGGGACCCCAAATCCCAGTGTTTTGGACACTGCTCTTGAAGATCCTCACAGTGAAAGTTGTGTGGTTTGTCACGTAAATTAAAAATACTGAATACAGTGGAGTGTGTATTGATATGCGAGATTTTTCTGGATGCCAGGTCTGACATGCAGAGTTGCAGTAACTTTTCTGGTAAATTGCTGAAAAACGCAGGCGAATGAAAGAGACCAGTCAGTATRTGGCAGAGAAAGTATTACAAATGTTTGTTTGGCTTTGCTTATTTCTAGTTTCCTTGCTTATTTCAAGCATCAGTTGAAGAGCTGTCCTTTCTATCTGGATACCTGGGAAAMCATCAGGTGTTTCTTGGTTCCTCTGTAAAAAGAGGACGTATTTTCAGTGCCTGGGATTTTTTTTCACTCCTCTTACTGCCATTTGTAACAGAAGGAACTCAGTAATTTAGAAGTATTTAGAATTCAGAGTCATATGTGGGTACAGATGGAGTACTTGGAGCCTTGTTTCCTTTGCTGATATTCCCCAAAATGCAGCACTTGGGGGAAGGCATGGAGTGTGCCTGACAACAGATTTTTCCTTTCACTGCTGCTGGTTTGGTAGTTCCAGTTTTTCCTTTCTTGGACAAGATCTGCAGAACCCTCTGCAGTTGTTCCACCACAGTTGGGCTGATGGTCTCCAGTTGCAGTGGTGCCTCCTGTGTCTTCCAGGATGGTTCAGGCTTTAAAGGAAAAATGGGATTTCTTTCTACCTCATTCTCTTGCRATCCCTTAAAAGTTACTGTGAAATCTGTTGAGGGTCCGCTACTCTCAGGCAGCAAGTGGTTACTCTTTCAAATGTTTCAAACTGACAATGARTGTAAAACTTGACCTGCTATATTGTGTCGTTTAAGAATGATAGGGAGACTACAGTTGGTGATCCTTGGAACTACATAAAAAATCAGAATAGCCTCCTCATTTTTCTTCTTTGTACAGAAAATTTTAGCAATCTCAGTGCTCTTACTGAGAAGATCTATGGAATACCTATTTTGTGAGGAATTCAGTCCAGAAACACCTGCATAGTATATTGTATTTGGGGTGTGTAAATCACAAGAGGTTTAGTTTGATAAAACAAACAGCTGGCCCACCACTCACCAATCAATTAGGGCACARGCTGCCAACTTGCCAGGATGGTCTTTGTTGGGAAATGTCTTCCCAGCATTTTGCTGGGTATATTTACAGAGCATATTAGGTRTATTTCATGTTCATTTCCCCCCAAAGCAAAACAAAGCAATTATGCTACTAGTCTTCAATATATATCTGATATATATTTTGAAATGCACTGTMGCAGGTTTGACATTGCAGTGTTGTGGGTTGTCATGTGTGCGATACATTGAGAAGACCAAGAGCTTCATTTTGTTGTGGTGGWACAAAACCCCTGCATGGGTATCTGGTTATGACCCTATTATTTCAGCTGTGYACAAACAGCATGAGAAATATGGTCATTCTGCTTCAGATTTATAATCCAGAGAGATTTTTCTTGCCATTTTTCTAAAGAGTGTCTTGCAGTTGCCATCCTGTTTCATTTGAATTCTCTGCTTTACGGTTAAGTTTGCTGCTGTTTAATGATGGTCTGGTTAGTGAAATTCAAAACAAGTGTTTGAGTAGGAAAATAAACTCTAGTTCATGATTGTGATAATATTCATAGGTTGGATATGCAGGAGGAAAGGAGAAGCCAAAGCCTTGTTGGAGGTCAAGTGTATCAGCAGCTCTGAGTTCCTGCAATGACATCTGGAGTTACAGTAAAAGTGAGGGCCCTGATGGAGTTGTCCCTGCCATTKGTGACTCTTCACTGAGGAGGGGGAAGTGCTTCACATCATGAAGGTGTTAATTTCCAATGTTTAAAAAGATTTTGATTAGACAAAAATGTGTGTAGTAATAATTCACAGGGTGTACTTGCAGCATGGAGCTGAATGCTCTCATGCTCATTTTTTCCCCAAAATAGAGGAAAATGTAGTGCATTTAAATGTAATTTTAGTATGTGATGACTTGCTGTGCATTAAAAAGGGGAAAAGTCACTATTATTAACTCAGCTCGGCAGTATTGTAGCTTAATTTGCATCATATATTATAACAGCAATGCTTTTTGCAAAAATTTGAGATCACTTACATTTCTGCAGTGTGGTTTCAGTCAACTTTATTAGCATAAAATGTGGGATCAGCTAGCAGTTCTTTGTGTCTATATTCCCTCAGTTCACCATCTKAAGGAGAAAACTGTCAGTCTTGACATGCTTTGGTTGATAAAATACAAGCAGATGTAGCCGGGGTAAGCTAGAGAAATATCAGAGTTTCAGAAGATATATACCAGGATGTAGATCTGGTTAGTGGAAGGGATTTGCTTTTCACTGCTGCAGCTGTTGAAATGATTTCAATTTGCTTGTGTTTTCTTGTATTAAAAAAAAACTCACCTAGAACTATTTGTAGGCTTTTATACTTCCTCTGTGAGAGCCTGATCCCAAACTAGACTGGAAATCAGTGGACAGAGCTCAAATGACTTTGGAGGACTGAAGTCGTCAGAGATTTCACTTATGTAGAGAATCAATACTCTGCTMATGAGATTTGTGTAAATGAGTACATTTTGTGCTCAGAGTCAGAATGTCAGGGATATGAAAGTGGTGAATAAGCTCAAATAAAATTTTCTAAATGAATAMTTCTTTTTTTTTTATCCTGTATTCAGTTGGAAATTCACAGTGCATGTGTTTTTGCAGGGGTACAGAGGGTTTGAAAGGGAAGCATAAACAAAAGAGTTGGGAAGAATTGTTTAGCAGGAATAATGGATACTGAAAATATGAAAAACTGTATCATCCCCTTGTCCCTTTWTATTTGGGAATGAAAGAACTTGGAGAATAGTATGAAAACAAGAGAGATTTATTTATTGGAAGAAAACAGTGAACCTCAGTGACTGGAAATGTGAGTGAGGAGACGACAAAGCTGGATAAAATGTGCTCTTCCTGGMTGC